ATAGGTTGGGCCAGGTGTGTTATAAGTATCAACGAAACTGTGTCCGTGTTAAGAATCTGATATACTAGAAGTTCCTAAAAGTCTTTTAAATGCAAAGCAGGTTCTGTATAAGCTGAAAGGGCGAAAGGTCTTAAAGCAAATGTTTGTAACAGACAGCAGAAAGCTTCACCGACCCCATAAAGAGCATATATTCTTTATCAGGGCGACGAGCGGAGTCGATTTAGTTTCAAGAACTCGGAATCTTAAGCTTTAAATATATTCGTATCATATATATTTTGATATCTTCTTACATTTAAGTAATAATCGATAAATATCGACTTTGACTTTTTCAAAATCTTCTTTTACTTTTGTAATAATCGATAAATATAGATTGTGTCACTTTTTTCAGCATAGCTGCAAAAGTCTATGACATCAATTTTGTTACTCATATTTTTTTCGATATCTTTTTTCCCTTTACAAATAGTCGATAAAAATCGATTTTGTGTTTTCAATATTTTCCCTCACTTTTGAAATAATCGATAAGTATCGATTTTGACACTAGTTTCTTAAGCATAACTAAGAATTATAGAAGCTACATAAACCAAGTTTGGTAAGTGGCCATAAATAGATTAAAAATATCATACCTGCTGTATGCCACCCATGAATACCCTAGCCCCCACTGGAAACTGTAGAACCTTGCTCCTTGGTTTAAAAAGGAAGCTTCAGGTCCTGAAATTTACACTAAAATCAGACTATAAGGCCCGCAGTTATTTGAGGAGGACAGATACACGTGGCATTTAGGGTATCTAACAGTCGGGCATTATCAAATGGATTATTTTGATATTTTTAGAGGTAACCTGAATAAAAAATATTAATGATATATTCATATTTAAATCATATTTCGAGCCGTCTTACTTTCTTTATTCGCACGTTTTTTGACATTCACTCTAAAGTCTTTGGTTGAGCTGTCAACTGGGATAGTTCCCACATAAACTCTCAATTGGCTGCAAAGCAAAATGTATTTGTCGGCAAATATCTAAATCATATTTAGCTAGCGATTTATGTGCAGGGTACTTAGGCAAATGATCGGAGTGCACACTTAAATGGCGTTAATGTCACTATAATTATCGATATGCAAACAAAATTGCAGCCGCGACACACGATGACGGATCATTAAGAGTCGTAAAACGTGCGCACTATAATATCATTCATGCAGGTAAAATAAATATAAAAAATGTAAGATGCCAAGACGTGTGCGAGCTGCCATATGAATAATTAAATAAACTACTAAACATTGCGAATTGCGAGCCGCAAATCGTAAGGTGCCCCGCACTGAGAACACGTGTAAATTGTCAATTAGTCTGTTTAAATTGACAGACTGCGTAAAATTGACTTGCGACACGGGCCACACAATTTTGGCCAACCCAAAAAAATAAATCAAGTCGGTGATATATATACATATGTTATATATAGCTATACTCAAGAGAAACTCGAACTGGGATCAATTGTTGATAGATGATATTATGGCTCCATTATGATGGTATATATAGTATTGCTGCGATATAGGTTAAGATATAAGATAGAAAATATATGGAAAATTAGGAAAATTTCTTCATACAAGAACTTCGACTGATCGTTCCTACGATAGCTCTATCGGGGTCTTTATCATAAAGATAGCTTTAAAACTGAGCGATTTGCACAGGCATAGACAGACCTGGACTCTACGGATCCAGCTATAGTTATATGCATATATACGTTTTATGCTCGCAGGGATCGTGACAAACTGAATATACCTTTGGTTAGGGTATAACAAATCAGTTTTATAGCCGGCTCGTTGAAGTCTGGAGGAGTTATACAGCTCGTTAGTCACATGACATTGCGAAAATTGAAGCACACACACACGCCTCACACACACACACACACACACACACACACGCGTGCGCACACACACACACACACATACGGCAAATCAAGCGGAAATTCGAAATGAAAATGAAAATTTGCATGCGAATTGTTTAGACAATGCAATTTATAGCCCCCAAATCGAAACGTTTGTAAGCCAAATTAAAGTTTGCATTCACAAGGTTCAATAAATTGAGCATAGCCAAGATCTATCCGATACGAGACTTGATTGCGTAAGTATTATACAAAACCTGAGATTGTTCCAATTTGCGCAACAATAGCTCAGCATTCTGTTTATAAATGGGCATTGGCACTGCTTCAATTCCACTCTCATTAGAATTGAAAATAGGCGACTGGAAATCCATTTTACAATAGGAATTTACCCAAATTCCCATATCAACAGACTACCTAATTTGTTTATCATATTCGAATAACTTTATTAGACACACTGAAATTGCCCACTAAAACGCGATAAAAATCAACGTGTTCAACTAAAAATAATCCCGTCTTCTTATTTGTTAAGGTTTGCCCATTAAAAATGCGGGAAAACGGCAGCTTACACATTTGTTAGTCGGCGTACAAGCAGTGGGAAGCATTGCTTAACTTATTAATAAAAATATTCTTAATGAAATTGTCTTTCTATTTGTATGTCTATTAGAGCTAAAGAGAGCGACAAATTTTGTGTGCCGCTTCTTTCTGTATATGCTTGTGCATTTTAAATTCCTGCTTTCTTTCTGTTATGCCAATCGCCCCTCTATGCGATTCTCATGACCTTAAATCATCATATTTGAAAAAATTCACTATCTCACATTCATTTCTTTGAGTAGCTTTTTAGTCACACTCTCTCTCCCTCTCATTTCTTTCTCTATCTCTTTTTTTCATACTCTGACTTTCTCTTTCGCTCACCCTCACGTGTATGCTCCATTCTGGTTCCACTAGCTTTGCTTTCTTTTAAATTGCCTTTCAATGCGATTTTCAAAAACGTGAGCAAATCCTATATATCCTATATAGGTTATATTTCTTGCAGACAAATAGGTACACATAAAAAGATAGACTTGGTAAATGCGATTTTATCGGAGTCTAATAAAGGTTAAATTAAAAGAATTTGTACTATCTTAAGTTAAGAATTTAAAAGAGACACATACGTAGATTTTTAATTATACGTATACGTAATAAGCATACGACATGTTAGCCAGTGTCAAGCAAAACATTTGAGCTCAATGAACAAAAAAATATATATATATAATAATAATAATATTTTGATATCCACATTCATGACATGCCAAAAATGCTGCAATCACATTACCTTAATTATAAAGACAGACACTCAGCCGTGTGATGAATATATATAAATACGCATTTAACACCTGCAATTGACCACATCAAAGTGGCAGCACAATAAAGACAATGAGCCAAGTTATGGCCAGGAGAAGGCTTGGCCAATTTGGGGCTGATCTTATATAGATTCAAATTAGCGCAATCAGTTCAAGAATGTCTGTTCGTTAAATTTAGAACTCTACGGTTCACAGCTCAATCAAGGGCACAACAAAATAAATATAAAAAAAAAAATAATAATAATTAAGCAAATAAACAGGTTAACCGCAAATTAGCCAAGAGTTATTTTGTAATTTTCCAATGTGACTAAGCTATATTGCCATATAAATTAAAATATGCACATATGTAAAACGTTTCATAAAAACAAAAATAAAAAAAAAAACCCCTATCACGTGCTCATCGGCGACAATTTTCAACAATAAAAGCAAAACGCGCACATAATAACAAAATAATAAAATGCTGGCAACTAAGCCAAATAATAATAATAACAACAAAGAAAACAAAATAATCGGTGGAAATGTTGGCAAGTCAATAAACCAGCGTGTCGCAGCCAAAAAGAAATAAAGAAATAACTTAATAAACAATAATATTAATAAATATTTTAAAAACTTTTGTATATATGCATATTTATGTGTCTGCGCTTCGCTGTCTGCCAATTGACAAGAGCGCACGCCCGCCAATGTAAACAAAATCGGAGGAGAACACAAACAGAGCTGGCGAAAAGAAAACAAGAGATTCAAAATAAACGCATAAAGAGCTACTCGAAGTATTGCCGGCACCTTCAATGCAAACACACCCAACGCAACTGACCTCCGCCTCTGCTCCCCGCCCCAATCGCTCTCTACGCCTTCAACTTTTTAGAATTCCGAGTGTCGCATTGAAATGCCTGCAATATTGGCTCGCGCTCAGCGAGAGAGTATTTGTATGGCAAACAGATAGCAGTCGATCCAGATACATACATCCTTTCCTCGTTGACAAGCGGCAAATATTTGCCTTAGTTAAATGAGCTGCTGTCAATTTAAAGGGGCGGCTTTTTGCATAAGTGCAACAAACTAGATAACAATACAATTGCAAGGCAGGCAGCCATTGTCACTCAAAGTTGAAGTTCACCTTAAAATACAACAGCACGCTCGTAACATGAAAGTCAATAATCAACTGTTTTAAATGCTGCCAAATTTAATTAGTGCAATTAACAAATATACTTGCAATGTGTGAAATTAATTCAATTAATATGACTCCGTGTGACTTCATTTTTCCCTTATCATAACATTAGTCAACTACTTAGCGAAACGCTTTCTCAATCCGGAAACAGCGTGCAAAATTGACCTCTCCCATCAGCCAAAACTCCAAACATTCACAAACTTGTCACGATACCAAAGCGCTGTTCCCTTCTCTGTTTTGATCACACTGAGCGAGAGTAGACAGCGAACGAGAGAGAGAGAGAGAGTGCGAGAGAGCGGGTTTTCTTTGACCACTCACAACGCACACACACACACGCATACAACTGTTTGTCTAATTCGCTCGTGTGGAACCGCCGCAGCAAATGCAAATGTTGCCTCTGCATACACCTTCATCTGCCTTCACACACACACACACACACACAAGCCTAATCAAACGTAGCGCCAACGTCACTGCTGGCTTCGCTGCCCGCCGCTGCTGCCGTTATCCATACACAGTTTTAGCTTTTGTTATGTCCGGCAATTCGCTTGCTCGTGCTTCGTGCTCAGTTGTGATCGGCAGCAGGCAACAACGGAACTGGATTCATTTGGCAAAGCCAGCGCCTGCCTGAAAGAGATTGAAATTTCGCCGTCCTACGTTGCCTCTCTCTGTCTCTCTCTCTCTCTCTGTTGCTCGTTCTCTCGCTCTGGCTGCCTTGTTCGGTTCGGGTTCAGGTTCAGCACACACTGCGTATACGTTACTCTGCCCAATACCCCTGTGCCATATATAAAGTGCAAACAGCCGCGATGTTTGGCATTCATTGTTTGCACAAGGGAAGCTAAAGCTCGCGGAGGCCGAGCGCGACACCTAAACTAAAACAAACTAAAACCTAAAACCAAAACACACGCCAGGATTAATACGAAAAACAATTACATTATATCAAATCACGTTATTTTGTGAATATGTGTGTGTGATTTAATAATAAATTAGCATTATTTGCAACTGTCAAAGCTGTGAAGTGTTTCAGTTGCTCTGCTGGTGCGCACAATCAAGAAAGAAAATAATACACAAAAAAATAAAAGCAACAATAATAAATATAAATACGTTGGCAAATAAACAAACGCCGCAAAAGCAGCAACAACAACAACAACAACAACAGAAATACCAAAGAAACGCGCGCGCCAAAAAGCAAAAAAAACAGAGCTAGGGATTTTTCCTATATTTTTTTTCGAACAACATTTTCTCACGCCTCACACAAGGAACCTCAAACAAATAAAAAGAAAAGAGAGAAAACAAAAATCAACTATGGAGGTACAAAATATGCGCGAGCAGCCGCTGCTGCAGAGCAAACGCCACATCCTTGACTCCAGATGTGCGGTAAGTGTGGCACACCATATAGAATCAGATACTATATAGTAGAAGTTGACTGGTTGATCGACCCCCAAATTCGATTTGTAAACACAGTTCGTTTGCGTGGGTTTCACGAGGGCGGGGCATGCTAGGGGGGAGGGGGGTGGTAAGCGGCAACCCTATAAATATAGCGTGTGCCAAGAATAGCTGCGATCGCGCCAAATCGAAGAATTATGCCAAAGTAAACATTTACTCTAATACGCAAGTGCATAAATCCAGAGAGGGAGAGGGGTGGAGAGGTGGGGGGAGGGGCTGGTGCTTTACGCACTCAAAATGCAATTACATTAAATTTAAAGCAAAATATGCAAAGTATTTGATGTATTAACGCAACAATCTTGTGATGCCAATCAATACACTAGACTGCAAGATAGGGGAAAGGGATTTTCTTTTCTTGAGTAGTGTTGTTGAATTTATGCTTCTCGGAACAAATTTCTCTAATATGTTTGGCTTGTTTTCACCATAAGAAATATAAAAATAAAGTTTTACTTTAGTCTCAGTTGTCAGTTACTAAATTTTTTTTTTGTTAGAAGTGTAAAATGTTGCTCAAGTTAATAGCCAAATTTCTAGTAAATAAACAAATGCAATGTTATTAAGTTCTTTTGCAGGGAAATAAGTTCATCAGAAAATTTCCCTTATCAAGAGAAAAAAATCCCTTGGGCAATATTTAATAATTCAGCTTAAGCTAAGATTGGAAATTGGAAACAATATATTCCATTAATTCCAAAAACGACATTGCACTTGAATTGAAAATTAAAGAAAAAACATTAGTTCATTAAATTTGCAATATAGTAATTACGCTAATACTATAGTTTATGGCTTATATAATTATTATTTGCCCTTTCTTTTGTGTACAACAAAAATATAGAAAAAAAATATATATTTAGTATAGAATAATTGCACTGGGTCTAATGTTTGTTCTATTATAATTTAAATGGATAATATGTTTGTTTTATTGACAATCATTTAAGCATATATTATTAGATAAAAGCGGGTTTCTCTCAATAACAGCTATATAGTAATATATATATACTACTCAGTGCTATAAATAGTTTTAGCTATTTTCTAATTATTTCGCATATTTCTGTTATATATTGAAAACTTTGCTCTAGTCCAATATTTGCTCAGCCGTTTTCTCATGTAGAATAATTAATTGTTTGACCATAATTTATGCGATGTGTCAAAAATGTACATGAAAAACAAATTCAAATATTGCCCGCCCGGCTGGCCATGGAAATGCCAGTGGAAATGGGAATGGCTGTGTGGAAATGCAAGTGAAAAGTCGCCGTCGCCGTCGTCGTCGTCGTCTCATGGCGCACATGTGCTTCAAATTAAAATGTCTGGCTTTCATCTAAGAGCAATAAATAACCATAATAAATCGAAACATACATTGAAATACGAGCCTATATATACTTATATATATATACATATATATCTATATAGATGTACTACCCATACATGTGTCTAGCTGATTTTTAACGCTTTTGTTTCGTCTTGCAGCTAAACGATTTGTATCCGATCGCCCGTCTGACCCAGAAATTGGACGTGCTCAATATGTCGTCGTCGACGTCGTCTGCCAATTTGGACAAGGAAAGCCCCGTTACCATTGAGCTGGTGCGTCCCGAGGATACACCTGAAGTGCTGGCCATGCTCAAGACTTTCTTCTTTAAGGTTGGCTTTGATTTCTAATTAACTTCATTTGAATTTGTCTTGTCTTTAAAATCGCATAATCTCAAGAGATTTGAGTCCAATTATTGCTAGGTTATTCAAATTGTTTATTTATAATTGACACAGGTGCTGTTGCAGTCAAAACAAAGCAAACAATTTTTTAATAAATGCATAATAAATTTTAATTAGTGTTTTGGCCAGAGATTGGCTTCAATGAATACACTAAAACTCGATTTTTGCATTAATTAAGGAATTTTGTGAATGTTTTTTGCTGTTGATGTATTTTTTCTGGTCTTTCTTTTTTTTTTGCCCGATTCACAAAAGTGATTGAACTTTTATCCTTACTACGAGCTGATTCATAGGAAAGTCCCTTGATGAGACACCTGCTATGCTTACCTTTAACTGAAGCGAAAACCAGTTCAAACTCTGAAGATCATCAACTAGTTGCCTAGTTCATGCTCGGCTGCGCAATCAGATCGGCTCGCATAAAACGATCTGTTCGCGTGGAACTGGCGAAACGTGTGACAAACTTCCACTCCAGTTAACGGGGCAAAATCCGTATTGGATTGCAATTAATTGGAAACTTGGAGCGTGACATATAATATATATATATAAAAAAGAAAACAATGCAAATTATGCATTCAAACCCGACCGACTGACTGACTGAGTGACTGACTGACTGTGGCTCCGGTTCCGTTTGGCATTGCCATAAATTATGAATAAATGCTGATCGAATAGATAAATAAACGAATGCGTGCGCATAAATCATTTTATTATAATTCGCATGTTGTACTCGTGTCTCGCGTAATTGCCTAAACAATTTGTACAAATTATACTATTTAAAATTCCATCAAAGATTTCTCATATGCAAGCTAGCATATTTTGTTGATTTTTTGATAGAAACCTGATTCAATTTCTATTTGTCAAATGTTAATTTTTTTTTTATTAATTTAATATTAACACATAAACAGGCCCAGCCAGTTGCTGTACTTTGGGGAATCTGGTTTAATAGAGCCAGTTTTTTTATTTTTTAAAACTATGTTTTCATCTTCTTTTTTGTTTGCAGGATGAGCCACTGAATACATTTCTGGATCTCGGCGAGTGCAAGGAACTGGAGCAATTCTCAGTGAAACCCCTCAAGGACAACTGCTCGTACAAGGCCCTCAACAAGAAGGGCGAAATCATAGGCGTCTTTATCAATGGACTCATGCGACGGCCTGTAAGTCGCCATACAATCTATATCCTATATCTGCCTACCTTCACTTGCTTAATCATCTGCTAACTATAGGTTCTCATCAATTAAATCAGATCGCCCCACTAATTGAATTCATTTTCTTTTTAGTCACCAACTGAGCCGGCTGATAAGTTGGCCGATCCCTGCGAACATCCCAAATTCCAAAAGATACTCAGCCTAATGGATCACTTAGAGGAGAAATTCAACATATTTGATTTGTATCCCAATGAGAATTGCATACTTGATGGCAAAATACTTTCCGTGAACAGCAATTATCGCGGCTGCGGCATTGCCGGAAAGCTGACGGAACGTGCCTATGAGTATATGCGAGAGCATCAGATCTCCGTTTACCATGTGCTGTGCTCCAGTCACTATTCGGCGCGCGTTATGGAGAAGCTGGGCTTTCATGAGGTCTACAAAATGAATTATGCGGACTATAAGCCGCAGGGTGCGGTCGTCTTTAAGCCGGCCCTGCCGCATGTCGCTGCACGCGTCCTGGTCAAGGAGCTGGACCAGGATAAGCCCAAGTCTGTGTTGTAATTGTAATGAGGCAATTATGCATTTCATAGAAAATATGTGATTTTTAGTTTGTAGATCGGTGGCGGGATTTTTAAGTATATATTCAATCGAGAATCGTTCGCTCATTTTCATTCTATCTTTGTGCTTTCAACTTCTAATTAGTAGAAAAATATACAAGTACAAGCTATACAAATATTTATGTAATTAAATGCGCCCATCGCGATGTTAAATTAAGTATTCAATTTGCTCAAAGATTGCTAAATTAAAAGAAATAAATAATATAAATAAAAACATAAACTACGTTATCCTAAGTTAAAAACTTGTTTCATATTTTCGAAGAGCAAACTTGACGAGAAAGAAGCGCTACCGTAGATTGAATACCCTTGCAGACCGAACTTTTTTATAATACTCATAATGCCTGGATCTAAGAAGCACTGGAGCACTAGTTAATGCCGAGTAAGTATAAGTACAACAACCGATGTAAAACTTATAAATAGCGTGCTTAGTCAAGATATTTTGGAAAACAAACAAGTTTTCCATACATCATCTATGACAGCTATATGATATAGTGGTCCGATATTGATAAAATTTTATATATATATCAGTTGCATAGTAAAACTAATAAATGCCGAGTTTGGTCAAGATATAATGATAAACAAAAAAGTTTTTCATACAACCACTTAATTTCAACCGATTTCCTATGGCAGCTATAGGATATAATGGTCCAGTATTGTTGGGATTTTGGATATATATAAGATGCATATTAAAAGTGATCGATTCTGAGTTTAGTTCAGATTTCTTGATAAACAAAAAAGTTTTTTATACAAGAACCTACTTTTCAACCGATCGTTCCTATGGCAACTATATTTTATAGTGGTCCGGTTTCGACATATGTACTGCGTTCAGCAGAAAGACACACTTCTGCAAAGTTTCATGACGTTAGCTTTAAAACTGAGAGCCTAGTTCGCATAGAAACAGACGGACGGACATGGCTTTATAGGGTCGGAGATGTCTCCTTAATTTCACTACAAAATTATAATGCCCACCCTATGCAAGGGTATAAATTGTCAATCACTTTCCAGACATTGAAAGCGAGCTCCAGCTTGCGCTTCTTACACAGAACATACAGTTGCCCATTAAGCCCATACATAAAACATATCTATTTGAATACTATATACAAAAAATTTAGTCTAAACATGATTAAAACGTTGAAATGGTTACTTGGCTGCTGCCCTGCCCAATGGATCCCTAGCCAGGCGCTCGACCATGCGCCGCATTTGCTCCTGATTGCCATATTTTTGCGCATCGGCAACAACAGCCGCATGGTGAGAGTTTGCCTCCGCTGAGATTTCATCTTGTACTTGACGGCTCAGCGCAAACGAATGTCTGATAAGTTGTAAATATAATTTCTAGATATATATATAAGCAACAAGATGCCACTTACTTGACCGAGCTAAAGCCGAAGATTGCGCCAAGAATGCCTAAAGACATTAGAAACAAGGCCACCTGCCAGTTGGAGACACGATTCATGCCCTTGATGCCATAGTACGGGCCAGGATTTGGATTGTAATTGGGTCTCACATCCCAGGGCTGAATCGTTTCACGTGCGCCGCCCGGATACCAGATCAAGCTGTCGTCGTAATCCTTGCGCGTCGATGTCTTCACCAGGGTCTGATACGCCTCCGTTATTTTGACAAATCGCGCTGTTTTCTCCACACTTGCGGCATTGCTCTTAACATCTGGATGGTACTATAGGAAAAAAATTAAAGAGAATTATTTATATAGTAAACGAACAGCGATAGCCGCTTGCACTTGTTGCACCTGTTTGGAGAGTTTCAGATAGGCGTTGCGTATATCCTGTTTGCTGCAATCGCTTTTAACATTCAGTACTTCGTAGTGGGTTTCCGGCGTTTTTGTCTTGTAGGCGAAACTGCGTGTTAAACAAATTTAAACGTTAATTTATGTAACCAAAACAATGCAACAAGCGTCCAGCGTTACCTACTTACGTCTGCCGGCTGCTCCGTGGGCCGCTATAAAGGCTGGTAGTCGGAGCATAATTGATTGTCTCCCTCTTTTCCCTTCCGCTGCAGCAGTTTATGTAAATAAACAACAACTAAATAAATTTTATTCCATTTGGTATTTTCGGAAAAACTAAAATAAAAGTGTTGAAAAGCGTACTATTTGGATACAGCTGTCGATACAGCTGTATGCGATAGTATCGCATCATTTATTTTGCACATCTATCGATAGCCCGGCACAATCGATATTTTTGTCAAAAATCGCTGTCATGACAACCAAAAAATAGCGCTCTTTAAGAATAACAACAATCATAAAATTATAAAATGAGCAGCGAAAAGAAGGCAATGGAATTGCAATTCCAAGTGCGCCAGAACGCACGTGACTATCAGAGCTCGGTCCAGGATCTCTTCTCATGGGAGAAGGAAATCAAAAGCAAAGAGAAGGCAATGAAAAATGCGCCCGCACCAACCGTTCAGACAACCGTAAGTAGTCAGAAGTGTGGCTGGTGAGTTCGTCACGTTTATAACTACGCGTCTTTGTAGAACGCGCCGGTGCGCAGTCACGTGACAAAGGGAGATGAGACAAAGAAACCAATAGCAAACAATGCCACAGGTAGCCCCGGTGGCTCAGCAGCTAGCACACCGACCGAGAAACGGGACTTTCCGACAGATGCATTGGCACAGCTGCACAAAAAAGCCAATGATATTAAAGATCGTGGCAACAACTATGTGAAACAGGCCGAATATGACAGAGCCGTCGAAGCGTACACTGAGGCCATAGAGGTGTATTCTCAGGATCCCATTTACTTTATCAACAGAGCCTTATGTTATCTGAAGCTAGAACGGTAAGTGGATTAGCATATGCATATTAAGAAAGCCTCACTGATCTGTTCCTTATAGCTATGATAACTGCGTTGAGGACTGCGATGCGGCGATTGGGCTGGACAAGCTGTGCGTAAAGGCCTATTATCGGCGCATGCAGGCGAACGAATCGATGGGCAATAATATGGAGGCTCTCAAGGATTGCACCACCGTGCTGGCCATAGATCCCAAGAACCTTGAGGCCAAACGGAGTTTGGAACGCATCAACCAACGTTTGCGCAAAATTGGTATTTAACTTAATTAATGTTTATTGAACTAAGCTAATTATGCCCAATTTACAGCTAACAAACACGGTCCCAACTTTAGTGAAAGTCGCGACGATCTTATAGATATTTTACCATTCGATAAGCCCGCTTACAAGCGCTCGAAGCAGCCCATGCGTCGTGTGCCTGTTGTGGATATTGTGTCGCCCCGGCCCAACCTGGATGAGCAAAAGCCATTGCGCATATCGGATGAGGAAATTGATAAGATATTTAACAGTAATTGCGGACCTTTTGAGGAAGTGAAAAAAGGAAAAAAAGATAAGAATGTAACTAAGCCAAATTCCTTGAAAGCAATGGAAAAATTAGATGTAAAAATTCTGGAAACCAAGCAACCAGCTGCTCCTTTAAAAGTCACAGAAAATTGTACAAAATCGTTAGAAAAAAATGTCGTTATTGAGCCACTCCAAACTGTAAAACCAGAAGATACCTCCAATAGTAACAAAATCGTAGAACAAACTGTTGAAACTACCTCACAGCAAACAGTAAAAGCTGAAGACTCCGATAAGACTATCCAAGCTAAAGAAAAAATAGTTGAAATTAAAAAATCTAATACAATAATTACTACAACTGAACAAAAACCGCAAGTCACAGAAACCGGCGACGGCTCAATGGAGGTACGTGTAATATAGTATAAGTTTATAATTTCACAACTAATTATCCTTTTTTAAACAGCGCGTACCAGCTGCGCCAGCCGGCACTGCCCAGTTTTATATAACATGGAAGGAACTAACGCCAAATCAGAAATATCACTATTTAAAATCTATTGAAATACCAAACCTGTGCAAAATACTTGGCGCTGGCTTTGATTCCGACACATTTACGGATCTATTGCGCACATTGCAGGATTTCTATGTGCCCAACAAGGAACCAACAACAGCTGCAGTGCTGCTGGAGATAAGCAAAAATGATGAATTCAATATCTTAGCCATGCTTATGTCGCAGGAAGAGAAGAAAAGTGGGTGGCTGTGTTTCATTTATATTCATTTATATCTTAAATTCATTTAAAATTGTATTTTTGCAGTGGTTGCTTTCATAATGGATGGCATTAAGAAGTTACCCAAAAATAATCCAGCCCTATTGGATAAGCTTGGCAAGGCCTATAATGTAGCCTGAAGTTAAAAATTGTTATAAACAATAAACGTGCTTGATTTGCTTCAGATTGTTAGCCCAAAAAGGTTTTTAAAAATGTTATTTTCAAATAGATGTGAGTAACCTTAAAATTAAAAGTGGTGTGGTTTATACATACAAACATTTAATTTATCATCATATGAGGAGGGAACTAGTCACACGTACAGCTCACACAGACGCCGACGCTTCCAAAGCATTGAAACTGAACGCTGTGCGTGCACTAATACTTGTGCAGCACACACACATACAAACGCACACAGAGGACTTTAATTCGAAAGCTCAATTCACGTGAATGCTAATAACATAAATCCGAAACATTTCCAGTACAATGAATAATAAATATGTATCAAGTTTGCGCTGAAAGTAGAAGGAAGAAAAAAAAACGGTTCACATGTAAGAACGAGAACACGAACGTCACCCAGTCAAGCAATGAATATTAAATAGCAAATTGAGTAATATGAATTAGTGTAATTTACATAAATCAACGTATTAATTCAATCAGAGAAAGCTGCTACCCAAAATACATATGAATGTGTGTATGTGTGCATGTGTATATATGTATGTATTTTTCTTGTAAACTAACAGCTCCATTAAATGATTTAAAGTTGAAATTATGCGCTGATGGTTTAACTGCAGCATTACAACACCAGCTGAAGGCGACAAAAATACATTGGAGCATCGAGTGCTAATCCGACAAGCGGATCTGGGCTCTGAGAACTCTCTGGCAGACCCGAGCCAGATTTGTGTCAGCGTGAGAGCCGACGTCGCCGAACGCTGCTCAGATGTACTAAGCAAATGTACCGGGCTTAGCCTAAAAGTCATTGTTGTTGCATAGGCTAGTTATAATTTAATTTACATTACTTTTTTTTTTTGCTTCTTATCGTTCGTAGGCTGAGCGCATGTTGTGCGTTTTGCGTCTGTGTGTGTGCATGTGTGCGCGCATGTTCGGCTTGACGTAGTTGCCAGATGTGCGCAAAATGTGACGAGCGCACTGGCAACTCCGCGGCCGAAGCTAAGCTTCATTAAGCAGCTGCTGGAGAGGCAGCGAACGGAGCGCATGATCGCCCAGTTGCTGTTCACACTCTAACAGATTTAGATATCGCGCTCTGAACGAATGAGAAAAATAAAATCAAATAAATCCAATAAAAGTTACAGACGAGCAGCACACGCAAATAATAAGCGAGCGAGCGCCGTAATAGTTTCTAGTAAAGTACATCGCGTATACGAAGCGTGAAACACAAAAAGCGATCAAATAAACGTAAACAATTACAGTTAAATACAAGCGTCAAACTAACGGAAATTTGTGTAAGTGTGCGCGTGAGCTGCGAATTTAAATGCAGTAATAATATACAAATACAAATACATTTAATGCAAACAAGTGTAAGCAAAGGAGAGAGAGAGAGAAAGCAACAATAAGGAATACACAAATATAATGCAATGTATTATGGAGAAAAATATCAAAGCTAACTTTGCGACTTGGTGAAAAAAACAAAAAAAAAAAATAAAACAGGAAAATTGTTGCAATTTAAGAAAAGCCATAAAAAAAGATGTGTGCAAGTGGGCAAAGCAAAAGCTGCGTACGCACGCATGTGTGTGTGTGTGTGTGTGAGTGTGTGTGTGTGTGTGTCTAATGTAAACATGTTTGTACACATACTCAAGCTTTAGCGGCAATGAATAACTAAAAAAAATGTGCAAATTATCAGCGAAAACAATGAAACTCCCACCAAAAAAAAAAATAGAAAAAAAAAAATCACAGAAACTCGCGCAGCATCAGCACAAACACAAACAACAAAAATAAATCTAAGCACAGAACGAGATATTGTGCGACAGAGATAGACTATTGGCATACTAATACCAAGCCAAAGCCACGTACAACGCTTACCTTTCATTTCAAAATAGTCAACAACAGCAACAACAACAACAACGCAAAACTGAAAGAATGCAAAATGAATTTGTTGCTGCTGCTGCTAGCTTGAAGCGTTGCCTGGCACATCTTTAAAAGTCTCAATTCGCCGTGTAAAGTGCCCGCCCACCTGCCGCACGACTTGCCTAATTTATGCTGCGTCGCGGTGTGAGCGGGAGTGGAAGAAGGAGGTCTACCTGCACCCCTACAAACCGGAGTTGGCGTCTCCGTCGTCAAGTTCAAGTCGAAGCCAAGATTGCGGCCAGTTTACTTGACGTGCGCCTCTTCTGCTGCTGCTGCTGCTGTTGTTGTTGTTGTTGTTGCTAATCTCGGCTTCTTCTTATACGCGCTTAAAGCTTCATCGCTCGTCTCAACCTGTGCCAAGCGCGCAAAAATAAAAAGTAAAACATAACCCAAAATAAGACCAAAAGACAAACAACAACAACAACAACAACAACAGCCGCTGAGACGTCAACAGCGTCTCCAGGCACAGCAACAAAAACAATAAATATCAGCAAAAGACATAAAATTCAACCGGTTGGTTGGGTTTCCAAGCCGCTGCCTTGCGCTCAGCCGCAGCAGCAGCGCAGCCGCAGCGCAGCAGCAGCAATAATTTGTAAAATGAAATAAAAACAAAAGGCGAAAAAAGGAAAGATATATGCACGCTTATAAATAAAAGCAGCAGCTTTGGGGAGTAAAAAACCAAGCCTTGTTTAGCATAGTTTTCTACAGATCCGTTTGTGTTCTTTTTTTCCCAATTGGAATTTGTTAACAAAAAAAAAAAAAAAGAGCGCGCAATAATTGCCAAGCCGGATTTCTGCAAAATAAGTGCGCGCCTATTATTTATAATTTCATTATGTTAATTATATATACATACAGCACAGTTTGATCAATGCTCAGACTATTACGAAAAAAGCCAGCTTAGAGGGGGCTTCAAAAAGTATGGCAACGCTTGACTC